TTTATTCAAACTAAATTAATTAAGCTTAAAATTTATAAAATATATGCCTTTAACTTTAATTAAACGTGATTTTCATTTATAAAAGTTCAAATTAAATTGGGGACGATGGAGCTTCTACTATTGGTACAGCACTTGGTAACTGCAAGTTCCTTACTAATCTCGACTTTAATATTTAGTAACATTAATTTAAAATTAATTTATATATAATTTAAAAAGTTCGAATTACTTTTTTTATTTTGATTTAAATGTCAAATCAAATTTAAATAGTGAATAAATTGATCTATTTTGTTTGAAAAGGAAAAATCAAATTGGTGATAGAGGAGCATAAAATATTGGATTAGGTTTGAGTAACTGCACTCAATTCACAAATTTAGAATTTGGGATAAGGTAAATTTATCTCATTTATAATTTTTGAATAAAATTATGAAAAAACTTTTTTATTCAAACTAAATTAATTAAGCTTAAAATTTATAAAATATATGCCTTTAACTTTAATTAAACCTGATTTTTATTTATAAAAGCGAAAATTAAATTGGGAATTATGGAGCCTCTACTATTGGTACAGCACTTGGTAAGTGCAAGTTCCTTACTAATCTCAACTTTTAAATTTGGTAACATTAATTTTAAATTAATTTATCGATAATTTAAAAAGTTCGAATTACTTTTTTTATTTTGATTTAAATGTCAAATCAAATTTAAATAGTGAATAAATTGATCTATTTTGTTTGAAAAGGAAAAATCAAATTGGTGATAGAGGAGCATAAAATATTGGATTAGGTTTAAGTAACTGCACTTAGCTTACAAATTTAAAATTTGGGATAAGGTAAATTTATCTCATTTATAATTTTTGAATAAAATTATGAAAAAACTTTTTTATTCAAACTGAATTAAATAAGCTTATAATTTATAAAATATATGCCTTTAACTTTAATTAAACCTGATTTTTATTTATAAAAGCTAAAATTAAATTGGGGATGATGGAGCTTCTACTATTGGTACAGCACTTGGTAACTGCAAGTTCCTTACTAA